ACAGAAAGACACCAAATCCTTCTAAAATAGAAAGATACCTTTCTATTCTAAAATAGAAAGGGTAGGGAATCCATTTACCTCCCTCTCTGTTGCTGAGTGCTCCTGCAGATCTGCACTAAGGTCTGCTTTGAAGAACCATTTCTAGGCCCTTACTTGAATTTTCAGGAAGAAGAACACAGCAGTCTGTACTGGACACTGTACCATGTTTTTACAGTTTTTTCTGTTGTTTCTACGCAATAAAAAAGGACATAGTTTACAAAAATACTTGGTAATTCTCAATGATACAAGGGTGAAGATCCCTTTTTTTCATAAGTTCTAGCTAGCACAGCTACAACGGCTTCAGATTTCCAGTGCCAAAGAAAATTTACAATGTGCAGTGCTCCTAATGACAATTGTGAAGATGGCTCAAATACTTGAAAAAGATTAAAAGCCTCCCAAACCCATCAAACTCTTCCCTCTCTCAATTCTGTCTAAATCACTGCAAACTCTCAGTTTTGTGACATTCCAGTCTCAGGACCTCACTGAGATATCAAAACCCTTCTTTTCATACTTGTATTAATTATATGTATGGATTTCAACGTGTTTTAACAAGTGCTCAGGACAGTACCAGCTCAATCCATTAAGATTTCCTGAGAAAATCTTTCTTTTCTAATTTGAAAAACACCCTCCACATGATGTCATTTAACCCTTAAAATTTTCAGTAACAGGGTTCCAAAGTGTTTGAATACTGTATTATTGACTTCTAACTTACTACCTGTAACCGAAGCTGCAAAACACTGTAGAGTACCGCTACTCTCCTGACAGACTCAAGATGGAAATAAAAGGTAATTGCCACAACTTTACAAGTGTGATGATTCAAACCGATGTATTAATTTGTTCTCTTTTCTTTATAAACTTTCCACGAGTTCCAGACTGATATGCATGTGCTTTGTTATGACACAGTGCAGCCAGCACTCTCTGAGAATCAGAGTAGCAGATGCTCAACTTTGTTTGGCAAAGACAGAATTGACCTGTGGTAGAAAGGCCTGTAGACCCTGGCCCACCTGGAAAAATGCAGAAGGATGTTGGAATCGTATGCAAATCTGTGTTCTTCCTCAGATGTTGTCTCTTATGTTGCAGTGCCAAACAACTATTGTTTTTCCTTGGGAAGTCATGCTCCACTGTTCCTTTCAGAACAGCAGACTTTTCAGAGGGACTGGAAGGGATGTCATAGGATATTAAAAGGTACAAGTATATAAGAAAAGGCCATGGCAATCCTGAGATGCAAGCTCAAGAATGAGTGGAGGCACCCATATACTTCCTCATCACCCACCATCTTTTGAATATAATTATATAAATACCATTGCAGTGAAAAAGACCTATGGACAAATTTTCCAAGGAATGTTAAAACACACTACACTGCATCTAGCAAATAGTAACATTTAAAACAAGTTTTGCAGATGCTGCAATTGGCTAGCTTCAGAGCTCGTTTTAGCTTAATTTAAATTTTGACTTTGAAGTACATCTTCCCAGATCCCAAAGAGTATTCTAGCACACTCATTTCACCTATTCCAGCAGGAATCCCACAGGTAAACTCTCCTGCTACAGGATAAACAGATATCATTTAAGTATTCTTATATATTTTCATATCTGATGATATATTATTTTGAGTGTGTTCCAGTCCTCTACTTTGATCCCAGCCAAACACCTACAAGATCTTGACAAAAGACTTCAGTACTACTTATTTTATCTACAAGTTTTAAATTCTCTGCTCAACTGTACAGTGAAACTCAGCCCAAATTAGTACAGCTGCCATCAAGCAAAACCTGATTAACAGAATAGAAAGGAGGAAAACCAAAACCCAGAATACATATGAGATCATCCAATTTTCGTTAGTGCCTGAAAAGGCAACTAACTGACTGGCTGAAATTCATATGAGGCAGCAGTAAGTGTAGCACATGCCTACACCTCAACATTTGGCCACTTTTGAAATCACATGTTCAGGCCCATCCTGAAAATCTTTAAGGTGAATGTTGGGAAAAGAGCAATGTATCATCTTCGTTGTAGCAGCTGGAATCCATTCCAAATGCCACGCAGATCGCAGACAGCATATGGCTCTTGTACTAAGTGAAAATCACACTATAAACCACTGGAATATACAGATCTGAATTAAAAAAGAAAGAATGGCAACAGCTAAATCATCTTCATAGCTATGCTGAAGTCTCTTTGAAACAGACCTTGGCTCAGCTGAGTAAACTTCCGCCAATAAAATAATCAGAATTCAAAATCTTGCGTACTCTCAGAGAAATCATGAGTCCAAAACCAAATACCATGTGCCCAGGATGGAATTAAAATCCAGACTTATCTCTCATTATCATCATAGGCAACAGACACTTAAGCAGCAGGCTAAGGCATACCAGCTGATCTAACCTGGAGAGCCAGGGCAGCCATTTTTAATAGTCTCTTAAAAAATCCCGATGCTTATAGTTGGTTTTGTTTTTTTCAAAGACAAAACAAGCCTTAAGAAAATACTACTGGGGACATGAAAAATAACAGACTGCACTAAATATAAGTGCAGATGGTTTATTAGATCAATTTAAAAAAAAATCCACAACATGCACTCAATATACTAGGATTATATCCACTAATAATTGCAAATGGTATTTCAAATGCAAAGAGATGTTCTGCTAATGAGTGGTGGAAAGGCAACACCTATTTTGAAAGACTTTGTTGAGACAAAATCTTTTCCCTAAGGCAAGCAATACAACAAAATACAACAGAATCCTAATCCCACCTCCTAATAGATCTCCTAATACATCTCCTAATCCCACCAGTCTCAAAGACAGCTGTTGGGAGAAGGAATTTTTGACAATCTGGCCACAGAAAACATTAGCTTCCTCTGTTGATACTGACTTCTCTTCATAATAATTTTTGAATGTTCATATCTACATAGAGCCAGTTTGGACTTTTTTTCTCTTGCTATCCTAATGGTATTTTCTCTTTTGACTTAGACTCTGAGCTATTTGCAGTAGGAATTTTCCATGCTCACCATTGTAACCCAGGCCTAGCCAAATTTAAGACACTTGTCTGTTAACAGAATGATTTCTGTGACTAAGTCACTGTTTCCCCTTTGATCTCTTGAAGAACTCACACATGAACGTGCTACAGTACCATTCTTTACATGCCTCCCCAGTACTGAAGAGAGCTGCTCTTCATTTCCCCATTAAGTCATATATGCCTGTAGGACATCACTGTGTCCTCAACAGCTCAGACCTAATAAATAAATCTCACTTGAAAGCATTCAGACCATTATAAGTTTTCCCTTCTCTTAGGCAAAAGAAATACCAGAAATACATTTCTAGTTTATTGGTTTATTTCTCATTACTGTACTCTGATTTAATTGGTAATCAATTAAACTAACTTCCTAAAGTCCTTCCTGTTTTGCCCATGACAGTATTTGCTGAGTGATCTCTCCCTGACCCTATCTCAACCCGTGAGTTGCATTTTCTCTCCTTTGTCTAGTTGAGGAGGGGGAGTTATAGAATGGCTTTGGTGTCCAGCCAGGGTCAGCTCATCACAGGTGGGTGTGCAGGCTGCTCCACGTGTTGTAGGGGAAGCTCAGCATCTATGGAGTGACATCACAGCTATCCATTAATAGTAAAAAAAACACCATTCTTATTCCACTGATAATAAAACCCTCCATTCTTATTTCATTGTTGTGCTTTGCATCTGATAACTTTTCAGTTCTTATTCCTATAAGACTAGAAGCCAGTACAATGTTGCTGTTTCCTCCTCAACAAGCAAGAGGCACCTGCAGTTTCCCCGTCTTCCTGTTGGCAATGTGTAACTGCATCTTCACCTGGCTACTGGGAAGAGCTACATTTTCAGAGAAAGTGGACAGAGCTGTGAAAACAGGACAGGCGGGACCTAACTCTGACAAATACTACAGGAATCACTCTAGAACCAGCAAAAAAAAAAATATTTACTTCCATGACTACATGTCTGAAAAGCTGGGTTTTCTCCACACCAATTGCCTGTGCCTGCTGAAACCAGGTTTTTTTTTTTATGGTGTCTTTCTGCCAACCTGCTGAAAACAATGTCTTTTTTATTCTGAAAGTGGAAAACATGCTACGCTGCTGCATTTTATGCTGATGGGCAAAACAGACACTACTTAACACTTCCCAACCATCACAGGCAGGTTGCCTGGCTTAGCATGTGATAGACTGAAGGCTAAGCAGAGCACCTCCTCTTTTGTTTTCATTTTCTAATATTGCTTTCACCACCTTGGCAGTGGTAAAAATAATATCACCCAAGACAAGAAGAACAAGATGGGAAGGAAACACAGCTTAATTAACAACACAGATCTCATGCAAGTAGAGGAAAATCCATTTTTAAACCAAGAGATTCTAATTCCAGGCCACTTTGGAAACCACAGCAGATAAACAGTTGCCTTAAACTGGGTGAGTCAAATTCTTCATTTTGTTTTAAAGATAAAAAATGTTGCATTGACTCAACTCTGAGCCCATACAGCACTGAGGTGAATCCAATTCCATGATGCATTAGCAAGCAAAAAATTATGATGTCACCACAAATGTTATGAAGACACTATTTTGAAAACATAAAGCAGAAAAACAGATTTACAGGAGCCAGATGTGCCAAGTTAGGATTCTTTTCTTTCTTACTTTTCCTTTGAAGAATAATGAGTAAATCTCTCTAATTTGAGCCCATGATGCTTGTTTGCTATATTGCTTATTAGTATGACATAATGACTACATAAAATGGAATGATGACAGGTTTTAAAATAAAATAACTTGTTTGACTGAAATAATTCTGTGCATCCGTTTTTCATTTTCAATTTTGTTCATACCAGTAGTGCCCTATTTTCATTTACTCATACCTCCTGGATTCAACTTTTTGCTTCTATCTTTACAGTCCTGGTATAGTCATTACATGGTAAAAGGGATGGGGTGAAGGAGAGGAACAAATAATAGGTGAAGCTGCAGCAAATGGCACAAGGATACAGTCCCTTCCTGGAAAGAGGATTTTGTGGCGAACCATTTCTCCCATAATGCATCCCACAGACCATATATCCACTAGAATAGCAGAGACAGGGAAGTGAAGAAGGAGGGAAAAAAAGCAAAGTTAACTACGATATTTCACTTCTAAAACAGGGGGAAAAGAGCAGGTTGATCAGAACAGTACAGTTTGTTTTGTGGTTTTGTTAGGGTTTTCTTTTTCATGTCTCACCAAAAGCTTAAATAAATGAGTAAATAAGTAAAAGCTGTGTCAGTCAGCTTGACAGTAGTTAGTAACAATGGTGGAAAATGTTTAAAATCAACATTTTTGGGAAAAGGCTCACAGATAGCAAGTAAAGAACACGTAACAATTGCACAGAGTTATGGTATACACTGAGTTCATGGTGAAAAAAAAACCTTTTTTTTTTTTTTTTTTTTTTTTTAAGAAAAAGATAGCAACAAAATACCTCGGCCCAGACAATGATCAACTGGAACAAATCCTACTCGCAGCCAGGCAGTTTCTAGGTTTTGCCATGCAGGACTGAGTCTCTTTGCAGCAGTGCAGAAGAGGTTCTACTCACATAAGTAAAGGCTGTATAAATACCACCCTTAAGGGTTATTTAAAACTCCTGCTTCAAGATCTGTACTTGTGTCCTAGGTACCTATCTATACATAGCTGTACCTACATACCAATTGGAAAGAACTGGAGACTGTGACCTGTGTGGACTCTGTTTTTTACTGCATAGCTACTCAAAATAAATGCTAAAATAACCACTTTGCAGAACAAGTACCACCAAGACTAAGAGCATTTATTTTCCTGATCCTGCATTTAGCTTTTAGATGCAATATGCGTAGTTATATTATCTGCTTGACCTGGCTGGTTTGGGGTATTTTTGTCATCTTACAATAAAAAAGACTAGATAGATAGTGACACAGTATGAACAGAAAGAACAGACCTGCATTTCATGTGAAGGGGAAAAAACTGTTTTTAAATGCTTTAAAAACTACGTTGTTTCTCAGCTTTGAATCCTCGTTTTGTGGTCATGCTTGACCTACACAACCAGTTTCTCCTCTTTTTCTTCCCCTTTTTATCCTTCAAAAGAAATCCAAACCAAACCAAAGAAACAAACAACTCATTTCTTGGTAAAACAAAATAAAGGTGAAATGTTCCATTTGGGAAAGGAGGGTACAGGTATCAGGGGCATGGGACAGCAAGAGCATGCCTGAGGCAGTGGCAGAGTTTTCTTCAAACTGACAGTTATGGGACCTTTCACAGAAGGGCAGCAAACTGGTGGTAATTATGCATCTTTAGCCAACCAAGTGCAGAAAGAAAATGAAAGCAGTGAACGGTCCTTATACAGGCAGTACATGTAGTAAGAAGGGGAAAAAAGGTAGGGGAGCTTCAGTAATGTGGCAGCATAGGCCAGAGCAGGGAAGCAAAAACCAACCCTTTCTGTTGACTTCCTTAGGAGCTGGATCAAAGCCTCCAAGCAGACCAGATCCTCCAAGGAGAAAGCTGACCTTCATTTTCAAATATTTTCTTTTCTTTCTCTGTTTACTTTATTTTGGCTTTGTACAAGTTGACAGAATCATTCATCTTGAGCCAGATTCATTGCCCAAGGAAGTCAAAGGAAGTCTCCATGTTAACTTCAGTGGGCATCTGAACAGGACCTTTGGATGTGGCAAACATTCTTAGTACCTTCCCAGCTGTGTACTTCACCACAAGAGTGTCTAACTTTTTCTTGGTACGATTTTAATCATGTGAAAAGCAAGTGCTTTCTCTGTCCTTTCAGGGACAATAACAACAACAATAGTAATCATCTACTACGTGTCTGGAGAGAAAAAAAATAAACACAATAATTCATTTTAGAATAGAAGGAGCTCTGGATTTTGACAAAGGAACCATCTAAGCATGCTGAACCTAGTTCAAATCTCTAACAGCACTTATAAAAATTAACAATTACAAAATACTTTAAGGAAGATTATTCCTTTTTCAGAAATTACTCATTTCACTTAGACTGTGCTTAATAATCCTCTACTTTTTAGACTTTAATATTGAAATGTGTGCTGTAAATTCATAAACATTACAAATAATTCTTGCAGAGACTTGCTAATTTTGGAGAATGTTTTGTTAGCATGGCTTTATTGTGTTAGTCATGAAATCAGCACCAAAATCAGTTCAATGCCCTTTATAGGATAGAGTTGGCTGCTAGTAAAAGTTCTCCTGCAGGTTAGGTAACCTCTTCAATGTAAATTACATAGAACATTTTTAATAAGCTCCTGGTTTTGACATTTGATGTGTTTGTCATTGGAAAGTTTCCATGTCAAACAGACCAGTGGTAGTTTTGACAGCAGAATCTGAGTCCTAGCCGGCCTATCTGGCACTCAGATGCAATTCACAGCCATTTTACAAAATGAGAATCACTTACTAAGTTTTCCCTTCATACTCTGCAAAATGTGAATTCTTCCTTACCTGCTTCTCTATCGTGACCACCCCTTCCCTGCTTTTCACAGTCTTTCCAGGGATCAAGAGGCATCCAGACCCCTCACAGACTGTTCAGAGCAAAATCCTATTTGTATCTAGTGAAATTACATACAAATCAGGTGCATGTTTTTTTTGCTTCAGCTAAAACACATGAAAACTGTCAGCAAAACCTGGGAGTTTAGTTAAACCTACCATAAAGATAGAGCCCATTTGTGATATTCAGATTGAACTCGGGATATGGAGAAATTCTGGGAGGGTTACGATTCCCTATTTCTGCTTGTATCTCATCTTCCCTCAAACAATTCAGAGACCCAGACTCAAATTTAGAGCACATCACTCATTCAGCAATTTCAGTGGTTTTCACACTGTTTCACAGACAGAAGCCAAAGAGAAAGAGCTAACTGTATTTGCTAAGTTCAGCCATAACTAAGAACAAGGTTCTTATTACTCTGCAACTCCACAGTGATACATTCACCAACACAGCATCCCAAATGCATTCAGTAGCTTCAGTACACAACAGCGAAAAACTGCTCTAAATGACCTGCCTTTTAAATTACAAATGTCATTTCCCATTATGTTTTCTTTTTCTCGTGCCCCTTACAATTGTAGTGGTAGACCTTCCACTTCAGGTCGTACTGTGCTTGCTATGAAATTGCAACCCTACCGTTCTCCTTGTAGCCCATTCCCAAGATGACCTCTGGTGCTCTATAGTAACGTGTCACCACATAGGGAGTCATCATGAAGCTAGTGCCCGCAGTCCTGGCCAGTCCAAAATCCAAAATCTTCAACGTGCAGTCAGATTTTACCACAATATTACTTGGTTTTAAATCCTGCAAAAAGATAGTGAAAAGGCATATGACTGACTTTCATAAAGCCAGGCATAGCTGTGATATGAACTGATATTTTAGGTCAGCTTTAAAATAGTGTTTTACTGTCCTGATACTTACAGGATCCTGATACTCCTGATACTTATTATTTATTTTTAATAATCACATTACCTTTTCATTGATTACATTTACAAATAATCTCATTCCTAACACAAACACAAAGCTATCCTGCTAAGGGGATGGACCATGTTTCATAAGTTTATAGTAATTTTGCTGGGAGACAGGGCTCTGATCCACGGTACACAAGAATCTCAAGTGGTTTCTAAAGTCTTTATGATGATGTCATATGTTTGCCTGAGTTTTAAACCAAAGACCCCTTACCCTGTGAATAATTCCTGCAGAGTGAAGATGCTTGATACCACAGAGCATTTGGTACAGTAGATAAGACATACGTTCATGGTCTAGCTCCATCTGAATGACCTGGCACAGATTGGCATCCATTAATTCCATTACCAGGTAACTGAATGAAAAAGCAAAGCCATAGTGTTATTGTCTGTGTTGAAGAGGAACCACAGCACCATCTCAAATAAGTAACGTCTTCTTGCTCAATATTCACTTTATTTCTAGGGGCCGGGAGTAATACAGCTGGAGACTGAGCCCACTCACAATGCTTTCATTGTGGTGTTTGTTTCTCACTACACCATCTCATGGCAGAGATACCATTACTTTAGCAACCCAGCAAAACAGCTGGATTGCTGGCCCTTTCTTGGTGCATTCCCCATGACAGAGACTATACCCTACATGGACAAACAAGCAGCAAGACACTGAAATGTGCAGAAAACTGAAGAGTCACAGCATCAAATGTCATGACCGTTTGGCCTTTGACCATTATGAGGAATGGCTACCACAGTACATGTAGGAATTAGAGAGTAGTAGAAATGTCTGAGAGGCTAAAATATGCAACCCCATCCAAAATGTCTCCAAAACTCTTTCTAAGACTGCATGACTTCACACAATTCTCATTACAACTAATTGACCTTGTGCTTCTGATAAATAAGCTTCACTGACAACTTCATTAGTCCAGTCCCCTTTAGCAATAAGTTAATATCTTAAACACATCAGCTCATTTCTTACGAGACATCCCACAAGCACAGCTGATTTGTAAGTGTAACATTACATTAAGGCACTCTCAGACTTTAGGGAAAATACTAGTTCTCCATTTCAATGTATGCTGCGTGCCTTGCCTTTTTCTCCATCACTAGCTCCCTCCTATTCTCTGCACAGGTTTGCAGTGACAATATTATGAGAGAATTCCAAACACCAAAACCAGAACAATAGTCGCCTGACTTCAGCCATCTCTGCCTGTTATCACTACTGATACTAGATACAGAATGGGAATACATTTCCATACAGTGTCTACAGAATATGGGAATGACTAAAAGATAAAAGGAGTACAACTGTATAAATCACTGAATGTTTAAAATTTCTTTCAGGGCCGGTTCATTCTAGGCACAGTAGCACTTGTACAGTAGGGCAGTGTTCAGCAGAGATGCAAGTTGTGCTTGACACCTAGCACTAGATCCCCAGGCAAGTAATTTCATGCAGTTCAAGGTTATATCTAAACAAATATGAAATAAGGAAACATTTAACTTCAGTCTTTTTTACGGGACGTTGTTTCAGACTAAGTGCCACATATATATTAGGGAGTCACATAGCAACCATCATTCCCCTAGCAAGCTAATAGCACAAAAGCAGAACCTTTCAACTACTCAGACCTCTTCATCTGCATCTGAAGGCAAACACAAGCATTGACCTCTCAAGAAAAGCCATCAGCTAGGTTAGCACACTATTATTCTGCTTAGGAACGCCTGTATTTGCCAACTTATAGGTGTCTAAAGTGTTCTCAGTATGGGTATGCAGAGTATCTGTCTACTCACAGTGTAGACTACCCATGATCTTCTTTAGAGGGGCTTATAACATTTGCCTTTTGAGAAGTTATTGCATTGCAGGTACACTATAATCCCCTCCCATCTTTAAAGCTTTAGTTTAATCACAGCCTGTGTTACTTACACATCCTGAAATTCCTCCAGAGATTTCTGTGGTGTGAAGACATTTAATAAACTGATAATCTGAAAAGCAAAATACACAAAGGATGAAGAGAACAGATAAATGTAAGCAGCTGAACCCATTTTGAAGTATGTGTTAAAGGATAAATTCTGTTTTTTCACTGCTCAATTTACACTAACACTTCTCACTTTATGGATCAGTAAAAAGTCAGCAATATTCAAAATAAAATACTGCAGATCTCTCAGATTTCTTCTAAGTGCACTTGAAATGGCTTCTGAGACATGGATTAGCAATGATCAGTGACAAACCAAAATGCCAAGGGTGAGACAGTCCTCTGAATTTTGAAGTTACAGGTTCAAAGACCAACTTTAGCTCAATCTAGCACAGCAGTCCTTGTGCTACAGCCAGAAATATCTTACATATGAATAATGTTTACCTGAGGGGACAGATCATCAAGGACCACCTTATTAAAAATAAACAGAAGACGTTAGCTTTTTTTGATATAGCCTCAATTCCTTTGAAGGCACATGCTCACATACATTGATACAAATTCTATTATGAGAGGTACCACTTTTTGGTAGGAGCACTTTAAAACACTAGGCACATTCTGAGCAAACACACCTTGCATACTGTGACTCCTTTTTGTCCTTTTTTTTCTTTAATTTCTTTTGTGTTTTGTTTGAATGGGCTGGGCTGTTGAAAGATACTGGTAAGAATGTGTAAAACAGCACAGAGGTAAAACACGACCTCACATGACTGAATTGCCCATGTTTTTGTTACTGCATCTACCTCTGGGCAACAGAGGTAGAAGATACCAGCACAGCTGCCATGAAGACAACATCTGAACGCTTTCCTCCCCACCTTTATCACCTCTCTAGGATTTTCTTTTTTTTCTCTTGCCTCCCCACAGGTGCCTTTACAATCCTCTCCTTCCTCTGTACTCCTCTGTAAAAGCAGATTAAAACTTTGACCCAAACAGTGTTGTGGTGTCATCAGTTTTATGCAACATTTATAAAGTTCTATATTTAAAGTTAATATCACTCCCGTTGCCCTCTGCTCTTTCCAGTCTATTAAAAACATGAAGTGAGAATACATCATCCTCTGTTCTGCAGGGAGAACTACTCACTCATCCCTGCTTTTTTTTTTCCATGTGAATTTGTTATTGAGAATAAGTGTCAAATCTCACCTTACATCACACTTTTTTGAGTCCAATTCCGCTTTGCATAGGGAGAGAGTCATTTTAGGATATGAGGCAAGACTAAACATGTAGGAAACTGAAAAAATACTCCTAATTAAAAGGAAAGGGTGTCAAGTTATGACACAAAGCCACAGCAGAAACTGAGGAACTGTAGGAAAATAAATTCTTGGGAGATCCCTCAACAGTGCAATGGGGCGATCCTACATACCTCACTACAAAAAAGAGAGCTTATGGAGTGTCAGGCAGATATTTCTAACTAATAGATAGGTGGTTACAATTAACACAAAATTCATGGAATAAATATTTTCCTCCAGCATAAGAATAAATTCATTCATTATGGATACTAAGTGTTATGCAATAGGTAAAGGGTGTAAGAAGCAGGAAAGTCTGGAACCTGTTAGTGCTATTCATTTCAACAAGAGCACTGTGATTAGAAGGAATGGCACAATGTGTTGAGGCTTCAGAGTCCTGGCTTACACACATTAGTTTACACACAAATATGTGAGAATGGAAAAGTGCTTTTGGTTCTTAATTTTCTTTAGCAGTTTTGCAGCAACCTTCACCATGACAACCCCTCATCTTGTACAATCTATACAATGCATCTATATGACTAGGTTTTAGATGAAGTTGAGAGCAAGGAGTGCTCTCAGCTTGTGCATGGGTATGCCAACTCAAGAAACAGTCCCTTTGAGTCATAAATCCCAGTGATAAGAGGATGCAGCCAGGATTTCAGCAACCACTTATGCATTTCTGGATAAGGAATTGACAAGAATGTATTCTGTTCTTTCCCCTTCTATCCCTCTAGCCCTACTAGCAGCACCCCCATTTGTCATAGCCTTTAAATAAGCATATGGACAGATCCTCGGTCTCTCCTGTGGTCATTTAGTACCAGAAAGACTGTAGGCCTAGAGCTGAATTTGCCTTTCATTTCTTCTGTTTTAAAAAGGCACCCAACAATACTAACAAACCAATATACATACCACTTTTCTGGCTACCTATGGAAAACTTACATTTTTATGATTCACACACTTCATGAGGACCAGCTCCCTGTAAGCTCGCTTGGCATGAGTTTGGTTCTGAAAAGGTCTGCTGAGCTTCTTAATGGCCACGTTTCTGTCAAGGACGGCATCATATGCAGCACTGCAGTAGTCACAAACACAGGAGTTATACATCTTAGAGAATATCCTGCATTTCTTATGGCAAATTCCTGAGCCTCAAGTCAGCTATTGCTTTTTTTTTTCCACTGAGAAAAATACTGGGACAAAAGAAGGAAAGAGTTTCTAGTGAGAAGACACCAAAAGGAAACATATACCACCACACTGGCAGAAGACAGCATGCACCACTACTTCTGACCTTCAGTTTGTAGGAAATCAACACTCGTTTTCAAGGGTTGGGGAAAAATATAATTAACTTCACATAAAAATCCAATAGAAACTGGATGAGACAAAAAGTAATTTCATAAAGCAACTCTCTGTGCATTGGGTACAGTGGAGAGGCTTTTGCTTTGATTAAGGACACCTTCACAAGCAGCTCAATGAGCAATTGTCTACTTTTATCTAGGAAGAAGTTTGTCTTTTTGTTACTGTATTTCTAATGGAATAAAGTAATTTGATTATTCTTTGAGACCATATAATTCAATTCCAATAATATACCTAGAAACAGAACCATTTCAAAAGATGTCTTTATTATTTTCTTGTCACAATGAAAAAACAGTTGAAAATTTTGTAAACATGAAAAAATACAGGCTCTGCTTTGCAAAGCAGGCTTTTAAACCTGGGCTCCTAAAATTCTTTTTAAACTCTTTAATGTTTTATACAACCTTGAGTTGTTTTGATAAATGTCACTTCCTGAGAATTTGAACCATTTATTTTGTTTTGATGGTTCGAACCTAACAACACAAATTTTAACTTCTGCATTTCACAAAGCACACTAATTCTTAGAAACTTTCCCCAAGAGACAGTCCTCAGACCCTTTTACTGATTCTCCCTTTTACCAAGAGTGAGGAAAGCTTTTTGCTACTCCATGAAGAGCAACAGTGTATTTCCCAAAAGATAAATCAACCAAACCACTACTTGCTCTAAAGGTACTTATTTAAGCAGCAAAATAAACATTCAAAATCCTGTGTTTTATTTCTCATTAATTCCTGTTTACTGTAGACATTACAGAGTCCTACCAACCAAGTACAGAGCAGAAAGCATGCAAGCAACAGAAGCTTAGTCACAAAGCCAACAAAAACATACAAGTGCTCTACATAGGTAGAGAAGTGTTGTCAATGTATGTCCTGGAAACCACACAGGTGGAGAAAAATATTTACACTACTCTTGAATAAAGAGCACACAAAATGCATCCCACAAATAAGAATAACTGTTTACTAAAGATGCCGAGTAATTTTTTGAAGAGTGCTTTAGTCCACTGCTGATACTTGGGGCAGGATGGTGGGGTTCCCCTGAAAATATGTTCAGAGAGGAAAAAAAGAATTCTCGTGACTGCCCTTGCAGGTGCTTTGAAACTATCAGGAAGTTCTATTTTAACCTTTTCATAGTGAAAGTACTTCGGATCAAAATGTTAATTTACATAAAAAGTAAAAATAAATACTAAATCTCCCCAAAGTACTGACATTGTGAAATGCCAAGCACTGCACCTGGGGAGGAATAACCCCAGGCACCATTATACACTTGGGGCCAAAAGTCTGGAAAGTAGGTTTGCAGAGAATGACCCAGAGGTCCTGGTGGACCACAAGCTGAACATAAGCCAGCAAGGTGCCATCACGGCTAAGAAGGACAGCAGCACCTTGGGCTGCACTTAGAAAGAAGAAAGACTGTTGCTAGGAGATCAAGGGGACTGATCTTTCCCATTTGCTCAGTGCTGCTGAGGCCACGTCTGGAGCGCTGCGTCCAGCTCTGGGCTCCCTAGTACAAGAAAGATAGGAATGTACTGGAGCGATTCTACTGATGAACCACGAATATGGTTAGGGACTGCAACATCTGTCATACAAGGAGAGGCTGAGCAAGCTGGGGTTGTTTACCCTGGAGAAGAGTATCTTATCTCTGTACTTAAGTATTTGATAGGATAAGCAAAGAAGATGGAGCAAGACTCTTCCAGTGCTCCTGATCACCTTCTCTAGTTGACTCCGCATTGAACAAGTGGTTTGGACTAAGCACACTCCAACATGATGCATTCTGTCATTTGATAGCAATTCTTTCTTCCCTTATTCATTAATAAGGCATGTAACTTTTATGACCCAGCTAACATCATACTAGGTACATACATAAACAAAGACATGGCACTCACTAGTATGTATGAAGCAGCTTATGTGATAAGGTTATCAAAGATCCAGTCTGACCTGACTTCATTCTGGCCAGAGTTTCACTCAACTAAACCTTATGTTAGCAGAAGGAAGGTGTGTGATTTATAGCCTAATAGTACATAGAAAGCAAAACCTCTTACAGCAACTGTGAGAATTCTCTCATTCTCATTCAGTTCATCCACAACAGGCCACAACTAAAATACCCCTTAACAGCATTAAGAAAGTACTAAGCAAACAAAAAGCAAAGCTGATTTAAAACCCATGATCTTCCAAGAGTTAAACGTTTTGACTCCATCATTCATAGATATGTACTGTAAATATACTACAGCAGACAAATCTCTCAGCTAATTACTTCGTTTACGAAGAAAAGCCTATGTGAGACTCAGCTATGTAAGAGTACTTTGAATCATTTTAATAATCTTTTAAATTTTAATCTTGTTAGTTACATCATAAAATTGCTGACTAGGAGTTATAAAAGAGTAACACCAAAAGTTTATCTGAGCAACCAAACTATTTTCTCCAGTTTCTGATTTCCATCAAAGAAAGAAATAAAAAAAGCATCAGTCTCAAATGGGAAAATGGGAATTCCCTCAAATGGAAAAATGGAGAAAAAAAAAAAAAAAAAGCCTTTGGATTTTGTTATCCATTCCTAGTCCTTTACATAGCATGGAGGAAAACAAAACAATTAAAGTAATCCATTGTACAGGGACATTTACTTTGATATACAAGGATCTTGACTGCTCTTCTGTTACTGTCTCCTATCAAATGGAAGGTGTCCAACTACTTCAAGAAGTCAATATGTATATTGATTGCTATGTGTAAATTAATAGCACTGATGTTTTTTTCTATTCACCAGAGAGAAGCTTTTGTTTACAGACAGCCACCTATGCATTTTACTACAATGAAATTACAGATACCACAGGTAGGTCCTCTCTCTGCTGCTTGCTACACAAAATCCTTACCTTGGAACACCAAGGTTAGTATTGATGATAAGCCTTCTTAACACAAACTTCAATCACTGGCAGAAGAGTGGCTGTATAAACAGGTGACTCAAGGGAGCAGGAATAAGAGAGAGAGAGTAATGAGTGTCTGTGAACTGCTGTGAAAAGGCTGAGTGTGAAAGTCAACGTCAAGATCTGCAACAAGAGATTGGACTTGTATCTAAAAGCCTGTTCATCTTTCCCTGGAAATTCGTAACACCTCTTGCTCAACTGAATGTGTTTTTTCATTTCCACAGTTGCCCTATTTTTGTAACAAAAATTACAATTCTAGTCTTGTAATAAAATTATAGCTCTACTGCAGCATGAGCTCAGAAAAATCCCCCAAGTTTAAAACCGTATCTCTGGCAGCCGAACAGACAGAAAATGCAGCAAATAAACTCTTTCCCTATAAATTACATTTATGGCTAGTTTGGCAAGGTAAATGTTAGTATTTAAAGTGCCTTTTTAAACTGTAAATAATTTGAAACAAACCTACTTAGCAGAGATAAAAAATTTTAGCCAGATGTGAACATAAATTTATGCCTTCAAAGAGATCTATGCAATTACAGCTATTTAACAAGACACTGCTGACTTCAGCGGGGGGAGGGGGGAAAGAAAATAAATGAAACTCATTCTAGTCAGATTTACACTAATCGAGATCATCATTTACCACTAATACTGCGTGAGAGTTCAGGCTGTAATGATCAATGAGCAATGCTCTGTTATCATACACTTGAAGGACCAGACATTCATTTTTATGCCTATTTCAGAAAGCAAGAAAAGCATTCTAGTTTCACATCCAAGTTTCTATTTCAACATGCATTTACCAAGTAAATACTTAAAATTATTCTTCCCATACAGGAATAATTCTTTTAATCAACAATGAAACTTAGCATTTATCTACTCTATTATATTCTGTGCCAGAACAGACCGACAAAACCACAGAACACACTTATTTTTCCAGATAAACTTTTAGCTAGGGTTTCCTAGTTTAACAAATGACAATTTTTGACAATCTTTAGTTTCAAGATTCTTCAGATGGTGCACACATATCCTTTTCAAGATGGTTATCCTTTCTCAAGCCACTGCTTCATTAAAGTGCTATTATTAGCCCTCAGATGACAGAATGGAAGCCCAAAACAGGAAAGGAAGCTCCTAGACTCCTGGGGCATGCTGTGAAATGGAGACTTTCAGCAATCTCAGCAAACAGCTTTCTATATTAAGAAAGTCTCTTCACTGAATGTTGTAGAAATCCAAGGGTTGGTAAATGTTCCTCTTACCTGTGATTACACTTATACATTGCAACATATATAATATTTTAGTTTATCTGACAAGCTACTTAATATAATATCAACTTTCTACAGCAACAAAATTTGGTCATCTTTTGCCTTTCTCCAGAAATACTTCAGCTGTGATGCTGATTATTACAAATCACTGTTATTAATACCTGCATTACCTGATCCTTCTAGGTACTGCAGTTTTGCCACTGACATTAGCATTTTCCCTTAGTTCCTTCATCCCAGCACAGCAAAATGGAAGAAAGCTGAAGCTGATCTTGTTAAACAAAGCATTGATCTATGTATTTGAAATGCCTATTCTATTTAGTGCTGAGATCTCCATCAGCAGAGAAAATTGTTAACCTTGAAAATCATGTTTAACAATAATGCTGATGATACCTCTTCTAACAATCACCACTGATACATGGATCAGAATACATTCTATATACACACACAGACATATATTGAAATGTATATATACACAACATGTAACTTCTGAGTTTCTAAAGGTAGATTGTGATACATATCTACTCACAAACAGTGCATATTCCTCTCTTCAGCAATCACTTTTAAAAA